CCCCATACCAGTCCATGCCCACCAAAGCTTGAGGTGAAGGAGGGAAGAAGTCGACGAATTCTGAAGAGGGCCTGGCGGGGAAAGAGGGGTGAATCCTTGTCCATTCTTGAAAACACAGATGGTAATCTCTTTCCCCGTCTTCTACTACATCCGCCCCCCTCTCTCTCCCTTTCCACCCCACCTTTGCAATCCACCCTCCTTGTTCCCCACCCAGCCAGTCTTTGCAGAAGCTTTCAATAATGTCTTCTTGTATTTGTTCCTTTATTGCGTTAATGAACTCCGTGCCATCCCAGCGTACCCCTTCCATTTCCAATGTGCATCGCCGCCACCAGATAGCCCAGATGATGGCACGGCGTCCCATTTTGAACATGTTACTTTCAAAGGTGGTAGCCTGAACTGGGGCCCATGCTTCGCAGAGGNGCCACCAGATAGCCCAGATGATGGCACGGCGTCCCATTTTGAACATGTTACTTTCAAAGGTGGTAGCCTGAACTGGGGCCCATGCTTCGCAGAGGAGCGCTCTCCAGTCCCATGGCCAGGGCTGTAAAGCGCCTAACCGTCTCCAGAGGCGGTCCTACCATCTCCACAGCCATTTCGCTGCTGGGCATTGCAGAAACATATGCTCTATGGTTTCGGGCCATTTCCTAGAAGGGAAGGACTCAGTACATCCTTATACAAAAAACCGAACTGTCAAACATTACAATTTTTAATGAGAACCAGTAGGATCAAACCACCTCTTCAACCCTGAACAGACCGCCATATAGAGCGTGCTAATCTAGCAGCTCTATCCTTTTTGATAATGAGAATTCATTTTTCGTTGATCATCCCCCACCCCACCAAACCATTGAAGATCCACCAAGGCTAGCTCTGAGGGGGGGAACAGTTCAAAAAAGCATACAGCATCTCTGAAGAACTCCCCCGGCTGGACATCAAACCAGTCCTTAAACTGCAAAAAGTAACACTTTCTGATAGGCATCACAGACTCATTCTTATCAGGCCATACCACCTGTCCCATACCCTGTTCCTGTGATCCGCCTAGCGAGTCCATTGTGAATTTGAGAATAGATTGCTTGATGTCTTTCTTCTAAGTTACAGATTTTAATTTGCTTTTAAGATCGGACGACCACTGAGCTCAAATTTCTGTTCCGCAAATTGTTTTGCATTCTGAAAAAATTCCACCTCTTCCATATGTACATCCTCCATTACACATACACACCTCCTTTGCCATATGGCCCATATGATAGCTGTCCTACCAAGATGAAATAGGTTTGACTGAAAGGTTGAGAGGAACAGGTCAACCGGATTTCAATGGCCCAGTAAAAGGGCTCTCCATTCCCAAGGCCAGTCAAGGCTAGTTAGTCTTCACCATATGCAGTCCCAATGATGCCACATAAGGATGGCCCCTGGACACTGAGTGAAAATGTGTTCAATGGTTTCACGATATTTACGTGAAGTGAATGCCATGTGGCAAGAACGACACCATGGCAACACTAATCCTCTCTGTTCTACAGTTGAGTGGTCTATCAACCAGTCATTAGTAGGAAGACATCAACGCATAATCTGCAATTGAAGTGAGGCAAATTTGGCTGGTCTATCCTTACTAGATCGAAACCAACGCATTGTACGAACCTGATATATGTGAATGTTAAGATGTCTCACACATCTCTCTTGTTCAACTGCTGGAACATCGACTTTGGGCCTCAACAACCGATAGGCTGCCTTGACAGTCAGGGATTGAAGCGTTCTAGACTTGCCCCTCTTTGAAACCTTCCATGTCAATTCCTCAGGGTCCAGTGGAAGCTTCGCTATTGGTGTTTTAGGGTAATAGGCCCGCCATCGGCTGAGTGATGTATGACTAGGTATGTTTGGGGAAGGACACGAATCCTATATAACATTTTACTGGACACCCACTCCACTTTGTCTGGATCATACCTACACAAAAAATGTCTTGTTGCAAACGAAAAAAATCACCATTGCTCCGCAGGCGACATCCTTTTCTTAACGTTTTCACCCAAGCCAGATGAATAGAGGTATGTTTGGGGAAGGACACATATCCTACATAACATTTTACTGGACACCCACTCCACTTTGTCTGGATCATACCTAGACAAAAAATGTCTTGTTGCAAACGAAAAAATTCACCATTGCTCCGTCCTGATATTGACATACAACTTGGACATGTTATCCATATATTATTAGAATCATACCTTCAACCCAATCAGAATCCTGCAGACGACATCCTTTTCTTAACGTTTTCACCCAAGCCAGAGGAATAGAGAGAACTATTTGGTCCAACATCTTCAATAAGTGATGTGCATACGTGAGAGTGAGTCTGAGTTGTTCCACAGACTTCCAATTCTTTACTGATGGATCCCATACGTTTTTGACTCTCAAGACACCCCTTTTAACCCAGGTTGACCTTAGAGATGAAGAGCTAATGTAAACACACCCATTGCAGTCCGTGATCCATCTATTACCAAAAAGAGGTTGGCTTAACACTTCTTCATACCTCAATGGAAATGATCTGTCCGGGAGAGGTAGCTGTCTCCAAGTTTTAATAAGAGAACCCAAAAAACTATTCAGATTGCGCTTCTCCCCGCACCTCTCCTTCATGTGAATGTAGGTTACTTCAAGAAATGGTCCAATAACGGTTTTCTATCCATGTAAGTGGATGTATTTCATCAGTTGTGGGGGGCGCCAAACACCTAATTTGTTCTAAAGCCATTGGTTGTCAGGGAACCTCTAGTGAAAATATCAATGATTTTATCCATTGTAGAGACAATGCCTGACATTGTAAGGATGGGTCCAATATACCTAATCCCCCCCTAGATTTAGGCTGGATGAGTGTAAGTCAGGCCACCCTTGGAATTACGCTCCGAGTCTCGTGATTTCCCCTGCAAAGAAAGGATACCAGTAACTTTTTAAATCCTTAGAAGTTGTTTTGGTGAGTCACCAGATTTCTGACTTATACCAAATAGTTGCTAATATTACATTATTAATGAGTAAGGCCCTTCCGAGCAAAGAAGTATGTTGACTTATCCATTGGGTCATTTTTTGTAACGCAGGCTTTGTTATCCGATCATCATTTGTAGAAGGCTTCCCTAGAGCAGTAAGGGAGACACCCAAGACCCGTATTGGGGATTCTAGGGTTAACCATTTCACCCTAGGTTGTCCTTATACTACTCTAGAGAATGTTAAACTGGCTACATGGGGGTGAGGAGCTGATCGGTCACAGTACACAGACAACTTAACAAGTAGAGTGCTAAACTTTTCGAAAGTTTTTATTCAGCCAGCAGGCAGGTGAAGAACAAAATGAGTCATGCAAGATGGGAACCAGGAGGGAAGTCTGCATGCGACAAGAAGACGAGGTTGGGTGGGAAGGGATGGGGGGGGTGGGGGGGGTTCACCTTTAGGGCCTTGACCAGAGAGTGAGACTCCTCAAATACTGCTGGTGAAGATGCATCTGAGCTCCGGGAATCTCTCCTCCTGCTGTCTCCCACATCGTCAAACGACCCTCCTCTCCTCTCTGACATTAGTTTTTTGTTCTGCTGCTCTAGCTGCATACGATGCGTGTCAATCTGTAATCACAGACCGAATCAGTCACATTTCCAACCAAACAGTGTTCACAAACAACAAACCCTAAACATTGAACACCAATCAACAACAACAAAGTTGAATAAACAAAAATAAACCGCAATAAACAGCAAAAAACAACAACAATAAACAGCAGAGTCAAACAGACAGTGAGAACCAAGAAGAAGGCGATAACGATGAAGAAACACCCACCCCCACCCGCACGCACACACACACCCACCCACCCACCCGCACGCACACGCACACGCACATGTGCACACACACACACACACACACACACACACACACACACACACACACACACATACACACACACACACACATCTTCTCCCTCCCTTTTTCCACGTCATCCCTCCCTCGTGCAGAACGAGTAAATGCATACGAGTGAGCATTCCCACTAAGAGAATAGACAAAATATAAGGTGCACCTGTGCTGAAAAGCATACGTGTGTGTATCCATTCCACACTCACGTACACAGACATGATGCACCTTGCACCTCTCAGAATACTACAATGAAATGGCCATTTCGTTGGAACTTTACAATCATCGAAACTTTACAATCATCAAAACAGTACACTCATTTAAAACATTATGTATTATAAGCATGATTACCGTCCGGACGTCCGGATCCCATTCCGGACCGTCCGGGCGGACGTCTGGTCCGGTAGGTCTTAATTATTATTATTATTATTATTATTATTATTATTATTATTATTATTATTATTATTATTATTTTGGGTTCATTCATGGCCCACCCCCCAAAAAAATGTTTTGGGATTTTTTGACTATTTTCTGGCCCTTTCAGAAAGCCAAAGAGAGCCTGGCTGAGAGTGATTCTGATTGTGTGAGAGAGAGAGAGAGAGAGAGAGACAGAAACAGAGACAGACAGATAGAAACAGAGAGCGACAGACAGACACAAACACACACACACAGATACACACACACACACACACACACACACAGAGAGAGAGAGAGAGAGAGAGAGAGAGAGAGAGAGAGAGAGAGAGAGAGAGAGAGAGAGAGAGAGA